GTAGTTGTGTTCTTCAAATGTGTAGAAGTACAAACGTAGATTTTTATCTCTCTACAAGCTTTAGTTCTCGAGAAATTTGAATTTCAGCTTGAACCATTTGACCAGGGAAAGTTAGATTCGATATTTCTCGAAAACCAAAGCTTATAGAGAGCTGAAAATCTATGTTTGTACTTCTACAGATTTGTAGTATACGACTACTTATGTGGGGACGGCGCAGCACCACTTTGGCAAATGCACGAAAATTTCCGTTTTCTTGATTTCCAACAGAGAAAAAAATACGGCAACGGCGTATATATGTCTTATGTGGATAGTGTTTGCATGAGCAAGTTAGAATTTTTCTTTCTCAGTTTTTCAGGCGGTTGAATCTTTTTAATTTTTGGCTCGAAACTCGTGGTGGATCAGAGCTATGCTAGAGCAAGAGAGCCATCTTGTAAAGCTTGCTTTGCTCTATCGAATGGTATTCTGCAACCTGCTTAGAAATGAGAAGTGTCTTAATGCGGTTGGAATTCAAAACCTGCATTAATTTCCGGACAACCTAATACTTCAGAAGTTGATCATCAAGCATTTACGCTATGATGTATTGACGTGGACTAGGTCTAAACGCAACACTGTTGCGTCAAGAAATGGTCCCAAAGATCCTCATAATTATTTGTTTTTGATGGATAGCTGTCCGAATAGATGTCGATGGCTATTTCTGAACTTTTTTTCACAAATGCTCCTCATCTTATATATAAAGCTGAATGTCTGTTTGTATGTATGTATGTATGTATGTCTGTCTGTCTGTCTGTACGTATGTTCCGAATAGAAAATTCCATTTCTGAACCGATCCGGACCAAACTTGGCACACATACACTTCGGGCTCCGGCGGGTGTCATAGGCTACTTTTCGTATCGATCGACATCGATTTTATCGATTTTTTTGCAAAGTTTGAGCTACGGGGCTGGAATTTGGCACAGGGGGGTAATCGAGCATGCTGATCATCCCCAAGGGGGGTAATCAGCATGCTCGATTACACCCCTGTGCCAAATTCCAGCCCCGTAGCTCAAACTTTGCAAAAAAATCGATAAAATCGATAAAAGTAATCGATAATCCTGAAAACCAATATTGTATTCGGAATCCCCATGCTCACTTACCCCCCTGTGCAAAATCCCAGCCTCGCATGTCAAAATTTACAAAAAAAATCGATAAAATCAATAAAAGTAATCGATAATTCTGAAAACTAATATTGTATTCGGAATTCCCATGCTCACTTCCCCCCCCCCTGTGCCAACTCCTAGCCCTGTAGGTGAACTCTGCAAAAAAAATCGATAAAAATCGGTAAAATCGACATCGATCGATAACGAAAAGTGGACTGTGACACCCGGGGCCCGAAGTGTATGTGTGCCAAGTTTGGTCCGGATACGGCGGAGCCGGGTAAGCAGCTAGTTCGCTAATATGATACGTGGCACGAATTTAGAGACCTTCAGCAGGAGGCGTACACTACTATCATGTTCATATTAGCTCCGTTCAGAAAACATAATTCAAACGAATTTTTTGATTAAAAATGTTCTCGAGAAAAGTTGACAGTTCGTTATAGCACAAGTTTTTCCAACAATTTTTCGCGAGACCTAGACGGCAAATAGGGGGGATGGAAATATTGGAAGATTGCAACAAACTTAGTAGTTTAATTAGCTTTGTTGAATTCACCACAATAGCCCCTTTTGCACAAAATGTCAGAAGAAAATCTGCTAGATATTACCGAAAACTCCGCTGCCCATTTCTACATTATTTCAACTAAAACAAGAGGCTATAAACCAATTTCTATAACACTTTCCTGTGATGGAAAAATTTTATCCCACAAAACAAAACAAAAAAGAAAGTTGCTCTTCGTCCATCCATTCCGAGTACAGTGTTTGGTAGTGTACAAAATAATGGTACATTTTCTTCTTTATAGCTGACACTAGTTGGCAAAGTGTTTCCACTCTTTGAAGCTCTCTTATTGCCTTAATAATGAAAAATGCTGTACGGAAAAACTGGTAGCTTTTTCACTGCACAATGTGCAATCGCACATTCGAAGTCACTGTCAAAGTCTGGATGTTAGTTCAGCTATATGGAACTCTCTGAAATTTTTCTGACAACAAGACTAAAAACTAATTTTTCTACTGGGAACTAATCAAAAAATACAATGATGCCTGTTTGAGCACATGACATTTTTTTCTCGATTGGAGGGTTAAGGGTTACTGGAATAGAAATGGAGAAATTTATATAGGAACGCGGCTTTTCGCAATCAATAAAATTTGAATGTCAGGTCACTCCAAATTTCTTTTTGGATTTTTCTTAACTTTGTTACCAAGTCTTGCAGAGAGCCAAGAAGAGGTTTGGGATGCATTAGATAGAGCACTGCTTCTCTTCTCAGTGACCAGTTTTACGACTAAATTCTTCAGAGGGGGGAGGGGGGGGGGGGAAGGTGCAAATTATTTGCAGAAAATTATACGGCGTTATTCACAGTTGTTCAAATCCAAAATTTTCATTTTACTAAGTTGGCACATAAATAATGCAAACTTTCATATAACTTCTGTCTTTTTGAATGAGATGCATCCATTCTTTGGCAAGACAAGGACTACGTTGCAAGCTACAAACGCACACATTTTTTCAAAATTCGACACTTCTTTCAAGGTTACGGTAGGTTTGCGTTAAAGGGCGGAAATTTTCGGACTGCGTCAGATTTTGCCGAAACTTGTCTATGGTGACTATTCGACATCCTGATTGAAAAAATGACAATCATTCCGCTTGGAAAAGTCTCATTAGTGAGACCAAGGTACGATTTATTTTAGTGTTGTGTTAGTGTCTGATCAGTTGTATGATCTGCCCTCGTTGAGGCGCCTGCAACCTCATTGCGCGGAAAATGAGCGCTATAAAAGGCGCTCGCTGTTAGCCATTGTCAATTTTTTTTATTGTTATTATTTTGCTCTAATAGATCTTCCTCTTTCCCTCCTGTGCCGTGCCGCCAAGGAAGGAAGACACGTGTCCTAAGCTGGAGGACACAACACTTAGCAACAAATAAAGATGATGTTCTTGTTCAGCATGTTGAATTACCCTACTGTGCAAAGTCCTAGCAAATTCTGAGGTTTCGCAGCGCAGCCATGACGGATGCCCTTCCTGATGCATTTAACTTATCAATCTTCTCGAAGGCGTCGGATCCTAATTTTTCTTCAAATTCCACTGATTTTTTTGAGTTTTTTAGTCACCCTCTAGCAACATGCTTTCTATGATTCTGCTGATGCTGATGTATTTGATTCAGGTGGAGTACGGCTTCAAACGAAATTTCCTGTTTTTTCGCTAAAAACCAGAAAATTCCGATTTTTAATAGATCTCGGAAAATGCTCAAATCTTTTCTATCAAGTTATCGAAAGTGGAGCGGTTTCAGCAAACTTGTACTTTACCTCACACCTATAAAATGCCAGTACGGGAGCGCTACAAAGAGTTATGGAAGAATTTGAAATAGGAAAACTCGAATATATGTCAAGCTTTGAAGCCAGCAATATATATGGTTGTCCGGAAAATAATGTCGCTTTTTGTTTTATCATGCAATATCGCAGCAGGGTGCGCACGGAAGTATGTGAATGGGGTATCAACCGATAGATCAAAGCAAGCTCTACAAAATGAAGCTCGAACCTTCGCGCCAGGTTTGATTTGCGTGAAGTTTGGAGCCAAATTTCACAAGGCACTCAAGATCCGAAAAAATGAAAAAGATCGTATCTCCGTTCAAAGAAGTCTTGAGGACCCCTAACTTGCTCACGCATGGACTCACTATACGAGATATTCGTACGCGCATTTTCGAGGTTTTTCCACGGCTGAAAATTGAGAAAACCAAATTTGGCATGTTTTTGCCAAAACAATCCTGAGCTTCTCTCACATGGGTGATTCTGTAGCATGAACCTTTAGAAGTATAACCATGAATTTTCAGCTTCAGACAAGCGCTAGATTTCGAGAAAAATCAAATTGTTTGCGAAAAACCCGAAAAACACGACATATTCGCACTTTTGACCTCTTTTTATTTCTCGTACTGTAGCCATGGAAAATTACCAAAACTATACAGGTGAATGTATAGTGTGGAGAGTACATGCCTGTGCAAATTGGAGATCCCTAAGACGTCTGTGAACGGAGATACGATTTTTCGGGAGTCTGAAATTTTTTATATTTTGGATTCGAACTTCAGTTGGAGCAACACCTCCGCGGAGATTTGTGAATTAGCTTGTAGAGCTTGCTTTGCTCTATCAAATGATACCCCACTCGATGTTTTTTGTGGTCATTCTGTCGCGGTAGGATGCCATGCGACATTATTTTCCGGACAACCTGATACTTTCAGATAGAGGACAGCTTATTCTTACCATATTTCAGAGCTTGTAACTATTTCTTTGCGCACTTCTTATCAAACAATGATGGCTTCAAATTGCCTCCTCCTCGCCTAGTTACAGTCCTTCAAAAAACCTTGTATGGCGGCGGCTGTCTCGCTTCAAGCGTATGGTGTTGCACGCCACAGCATGCCGCCAATTTAGAGAATATAGTTTTTTTTGTCGTTCATTTGATGTTAATTTTGCATTCTATTGTATCCTATTTCATTATTCGCGTTTGTTTCATCCACAGAGGATGCCGTTTTCGTGGCGAAAAATACGAGGACTTCGCTCCCAAAAATTGGAAGCCACCTCATGCTGAGCTTGATAAAGGCGGTAAAAACATCGAAGCAGCGAATTATTGACGATCTAACAATGTGATCCTTGGGACTCCTTATATCCAGCTTTTATCTACTAGTTACCACATTAGATTCCATTACATTTCTCGCTGTATCCGAAACTTCCAATTTTTGTTCGTTATAGAGTGGCGTAAGCTTGCAAAGCTCAAGAAAGTGAGTGATTCAATCTGATCTGTATCTTGCGCGGAGTTTTGGCTCAGAAAGTGTCACACCAAGATTTATGCACAGCAACGAAGACATTGCACGAAGACATTGCACTTGGTAAAAATGCTGGTGCTATTGTAAGATGCAACTTTCAACGTCGAGAGCCTCCAGAGCGTGGAAAAGCATAATGTGAATTACGAGAATTACTACGGAGTGCATTGCGTTCACGAATGCTATTCACATATGCTGGGTTGTGTCTTAGCTGGCCGCCAGGCAGATATCCAATTGGACGTGAACGGGGTTCTTCTCTGGGTGAGGAGTTTCTCCTGTACTGTCGTGTAGAAGCTCCTGTAACCTTTCAAAAATATTTTCGCAACTTCGTTAAGAAAAAACTCACTTGGAGAATGGCCACCTGCAGGTGATTGCGGCTTTGATGGCGGCGGCAGTTTTTTACTTTCGGCCATTGCTTCGGCTCCTGTAACCGAAACTATTTTTGCAACTTCATCAGGGCAGAAGCTCACCAGTCCAGAGGAACAGGGTCATAAGGGCCTGGAATCAAAATAGTTTTGCTTTAATGAAGCGGAAAAGAAGCACGTGAATTGCTTACCATCAAGACATACGAAACGCTTAGTCCTGTTGCTTTCATCTAGAAATATCCGTGTTAACTATTTACCTCATTTCCATCTCATTAATTGCTAAACGATATTCGACTCAAGATAATCTATGAATGTATAATCCAAATAAATGGTGCATACATATAGTATACATGAATATAGCAACTTGTGCAATTATCCGTGCTGTTCTTTTTTAGAATGTCATAAATCTTTTCAATCAAGGTATAGGCAAATATGCAAGCAGCATTCAATTTAAAATTCGTGATGGAGTTTCCAGAGGAACAAAGTAAAATTCAGCTTGTAAAATTCTAGACGTACTTCAGATTTTTTGTTTGAGACTATCAAGGATGCGTTGTTGTTAGCAAACAGAGCAAACTTTTGCAAACAATGCGCCTTTTTCGCATCCTTTCAGTTTGTTTTTGGAACTGGAATAATAATACAATAAACTTTTCGAGCATATCCAATAGCTTCCCCGGAATTGCTTTGAAATAATTCTTCCAAAGTTTTTGCTTTTGCTGGTGGGAGAAATATAATAGCATTTAGAAAGAGAAAAAAAAGTTGCATTGAATGTAATCTATATTTCTTGCTACTTAAAGCTTTACGAGGTTTGCGTAGGCCGAAAAGGCTTTTTCATTTTAAAAAATATATTCTAAGAATTTCAAATAACAAGCCCAACGATTACGAAATCTTACATTTACTGGCGAAGGTTTTGCGGTCTGCTGGTAATGAAAGCTCTTTAAAAGTCTTGAATAAAAACTGCGAAAATTAGTTTGTACATGGTAAGAATAAAAGGTATAATCCTCAGCAAATATAAAAGGTATAATCCTCAGCAAATATCTTCGTAGCTTTCAAATAAATCGCGTGGAAACGCGTTTAGAAAGTGGAAAAGATTTTTTGGATACGGTTGGAGTACTTGTTTATTTCTACTCAAAGGACTTGCAACAGACTCAAAAAGTGTCAAGACTCCTGCACCAAACTTATGTATAACGTTCGTTCATAAGCTTTGCACCAAAATAAGACATCGCAATAAAAATTATTTTTTTAAAGTTTTAGATAGTTTCGTGAAAAATATTCAATAAGGCGAAGAAACTGTATAACCGAACAAGTGCTCTTCACAGTTAATGTTTATAAACTTACACCAAGTTTTGCGCGAACTTGGAAGCCAAAATAGGAAAGTCAAATGCGCGAAACCTCGTAATATTGGAACACCGTACAAAAAAAGAGACCCACCGCCTTGCTCGCTCACGCGTAAATTCCACTTCAGACATTTATATATAAATGCTGCCTTTTTTCCTTTTCATTAAGACTTATCTTACCTAGATTCCATCCCCCCCCCCTCCTTATCAATTTTAGGCCATACTTGATATTACTCGAAAAACTACGAAAAATCTTAGCGTCTGAAAAACTGCCGTTTTCAGACGCTAAGATTCAGCGTTCGTAAGTTTAAAAGCACAGCTCAACACCAATCCGTAAAGCATGGAAACTCTCCGTTTTTCGAATTTATAGGAAAATTACACCATTGTTCGTATGAATTCCGATGGGAAGTTATATGCGTGTTGAGACTTTGTTTTTTTTTTCGGACAGAGTTCGATTTTTCTCTTGGATTTCAAGACAATTTGATCTTTTTAGTTTTTGTCTATAGACTTCGCATGTATTGAACCTTGTGCAATTTTCAAAAAAAATTCGTTCTATACTTGATGCAAGTTACCTAAACGTGAAGTCTGCTTCGTCTAGTGCTCTAAGCCAACTAAATCAACCGAATGCCTTAAAAGAAGGAAATTGTATTTCCGTACAAAAAGATCCTATGGGCTCTAATTAGTCAGAGCATGCTCTTCACATATTGTGTCGCGGCTCCGCGATGCGAGCAGCTCCTCGAAATAGCGAACCGGGAGCGCTTTTTGCCGCACTGCCCGCGCTGCTTTCGCGGCTGGACCTCTTCCGCTACCAAGCATAAGGCTATAGCCGCGCCCAGAGCGGTTTTATTCTTACCTCTGTTCATTGTCTTCCTTCCAGTGTTCTTTATTTATTGAATTCTCACTGTCCTTGGCAGCGTCTAGCAGCTCCCGCATGACTGTTTTGTGTAAGCGGTCGAGCGTAGTTAGATTTGGGTCGAAGGGTTCGTTTGTGGTTTGAGGATTTAAGCAAGTACCATCCGCGGGAGCGAAGAGGGATGTATCGTTCCGTAGAGTAGGCGTCGTGCGGCGGGCTTGAGAGGAACCCTAGTACGCTTTTTGGAGAAAGTGGCTTCTGGGCCATCGGCGGCGCGGGTCGCGGCTCGCCCGCGTTGTAAGGTTTAGTACGTTTTGTAGTTTCAGTATTACGTTTATTTTTATAGTCTTCTGTGTTATTTAAGACAAATTTATGTGATGTATGATGTATATTTGTGTAAAATCTCTTGCGTTCTAGTCGCACTTGTATCAAGTATGCGGGTGGGGGTAGTTAGCGAAACGGTCGCGCAAGCATGAGCTTAGCTTGTTCGCGCGTTTGTAATATTGTCGGGAATACGGGATCGGGTTGTACGTGGCGAGCAGTGAAAGATGCTGAGGCCTCAGGAGCCGCAACACCTTGCACCTACATCCTTCTTGCTTGATTTCATAGGCAGAAATCGAAAAACAATTTTTGTTTTTCGAAACACTACCTTTTAGGGTTGTTGGCCTAATTTGACTCGTTTATGTTTCTCAATTCGGAAAGATAGAAGGCTTACAGCAAATGAACATATAAGTGCGCGATATAGAGAACTAGTGCGTCACCTCTGCTTCGCAGAGGCTCGCACTGGTTTTTCTATCTATATGCCTCAGTCATTCTAGCATAACATGACAGTGGAACTTACCGCGCAATGCCTGCCTTCACGAATAAATAGTAAACAGCTATTCATCCGAAAGCTTTTTCGTGTGAGATTGGTACTTTGTGTGTATGAAGCTGAAGATGGAGAACAAATGCAGATTTAGAACACTTTTAAATCTTTTCGTGGCTTGGTAGTCGCCATAAAAATAATATCTATCGTGACCTACATCCTTGTGCAAAAATTTCCTAGAATGATCTGTGAATTTTGCTACAGACACACACACACACACACACACACACACACACACACACACACACACACACACACACACACACACACACACACACACACACACACATACATACACACATACACACATACACACATACACACATACACACGTACACACATACACACATACACACATACACACATACACACATACACACATACACACATACACACATACACACATACACACATACACACATACACACATACACACATACACACATACACACATACACACATACACACATACACACATACACACATACACACATACACACATACACACATACACACATACACACATACACACATACACACATACACACATACACACATACACACATGCACACATGCACACATACACACATACACACATACACACATACACACATACACACATACACACATACACACATACACACATACACACATACACACATACACACATACACACATACACACATACACACATACACACATACACACATACACACATACACACATACACACATACACACATACACACATACACACATACACACATACACACATACACACATACACACATACACACATACACACATACACACATACACACATACACACATACACACATACACACATACACACATACACACATACACACATACACACATACACACATACACACATACACACATACACACATACACACATACACACATACACACATACACACATACACACATACACACATACACACATACACACATACACACATACACACATACACACATACACACATACACACATACACACATACACACATACACACATACACACATACACACATACACACATACACACATACACACATACACACATACACACATACACACATACACACATACACACATACACACATACACACATACACACATACACACATACACACATACACACATACACACATACACACATACACACATACACACATACACACATACATACATACACACATACACACATACACACATACACACATACACACATACACACATACACACACATACATACACACACATACATACACACATACACACATACACACATACACACATACACAAAAACACGTAAACACCCTTAGCCCGTTATTATAAGTCATGATATACGCCAAAGGAGTGATTTGTAATGCGGAAATGCGCAGGATTTTAAACAAGTTACGAGTAAATTCTCAAATTTTCGAGCGTTTGAATGTTAGAGGTGTTTCGTGTCATACAGAACAAACTTGTGCAAATTTTTTATACCATCTTGTAAGGCTTGCTTCGCTATCAATATATAAAGCAAGCTTTACAGGAAGAGCAAAGAATATGATTAATCGCGGTAAAAGTTGGAATAAAAAAGAATTATGAGAATATCTTTCACTTACTTTTGTCTAGCTTTGCGAAAAGGTCTCCAAATCGCAGCTATCACGTGTTTGCGGTAAAACTAACGGTTTTGTTATGCAAAAACTTATCGAAGTTTGGATTTGGGGTTGCTTGAGATGTCATGCAGAGAAAGCCTGCAGGTTTTTCCATCTGAGTGTCATGGTCGGCTCGGCTCGGGTCCTCGCGAGTCGCCTTGCTTGGGCACTCAACTCGTTCGCAAACGAGTTGAGTGGCCCAAGCGAGGAGACATTTACACTAGCTGGTCAATTGATGCCTATGGATGCGGTATTGCTATCAAGCTAAGTCAGTCTGGAATATTTAACTGTTCTTCCGCTGCGCAAGGTCTTCAGCGCTTACCCGTTGATATTGTTTCAGCGCGTGCCGGTGAAGTCTTCAAGAAAAATTGAAAAAAGCTGATTTGTCCGAACTTTTGAGCAGTGATACTTCTTTTTGATTGCGTTTCTAATATGTTGCGTACAGGTTTTTAGAGTTGAGGTCTTTAGGGTTTATGGTTGTCATGGTTCTCCTACGCATGTTTTGAGGCTTGATTTTCTTTGCACTTCGTTTTTTTTCTTTTTATTCTATTTTCTTTTTTATCTCTTAGTATCCCTCTTTCTAGATCCTCGCTTTTGTCCATGCGCTTCACTTTTTTCCGTTTGACGGTTCTGTGGCAAGCGACTGCGCCTGCCTCATGTTGATGTTTACTGGGCTGATTGTGGTCGAGGGAATGCGAAAAATGAATGCTTGTTGGATTTTAGTTTATGTTAGATCAGATTCCACCACTTCATTGACCTTGGTTCAATATCACTACTAATACACCTGCTTTCGACATATACAGTTGTTTATGTTTGAATAAGATCGTATTTAAAGGCAGTGTCCGGGCAAGATGGGGGTTTTGAGATTTCTCTGCCATGTGAGAGTGGCCCCCCTGAGACACAACATCGCGCAACTGCGAGCATAAAACGTTCGACCTAAAGCAAGAAAAACAATTGCAAAGTGGGGAAACTTACGCCTTGGGGCGGGGTCCTCCGAGCTGTTTGAATTCCTGCCAGACGACAGAGTACGTATGCCGCCACAGTTAAAAACCGTGCGCTCTTTGCAACTCTGCGTCTTAGCCTGGCGGGGATCCTCAAATTTCGAAATGTAAGGGCTTGGAAAATGCATGTTTTCGCCGTTTTCGCGCTTTCTGATGTGATTTTTCGGATTCAGCGTTGCGGATAACCCCAGATAAGTTGAT